CGTAAACTAAGTGATCCGATGCGGTTGGGGTCCTATTTATGAATGTTTTAGAGCCCGACTTCACATCTGTAAACTCTTTTCCCTTCTTGTATCATCAAGCAACTTTCGTCGGAATACTTATGTGTTAATACAGAAAGTGCATTGTAGAGGTCTTTTTTACCTAGGTTATACTTTCTAACCTAATTGGCAAAACTTGTTTACTTCCTACCTACTCTTCTACTAGGTTGTTGTTTTACCTACCCATCAGTTAATTAGGGTTTTAAAACTGAATAATTTGCTTAGATAGTTCTCTATTATTATTAATAAATATAATATATCTTGAATATATTAGGGGATTTAATTTATTTGTTATGGGTTTAATAAATAATATTTTTGCTCCTTACTCTTATGTATATATTCTTAACAATAATTTCTACTTTACAAATTTATTAGATCGATCAGTTTTACGGCAAACTGATGTGATACGTAGTCATGATCTGGAAAATTTCTAGCATATTTTATGTTTACCCGCGTGGCCCATATCCATGCCAAATCTGATCATAGTAAATTTTAGTTGGAATATTAAGGCGTTAAACTACAAAAGGGGCATTATTCGAGGTTTTTTTTACCTAGGTTATGTTTTCTACCTAGTCTCGAACTACTTGTTTCCTACCTATTTTCTCCTACCGTAAGATTTGGTTTTACTACCCATCAGTTAATTAGGGTTTTAAAACGAATAGTTAAATCTTTACAAAGGTAGTTCTCTACTATTATTGATAAATAATAATATATCTTGAATAATTAGGATTTGTTTATTTTATGGTTAATTAAATAATATTTTTGCTCCTTACTCTTATGTATATATTCTTAAATAATTTCAACTTATTGTCCCAATTAGCTACATGTCATCACCTTACTTTGGCACAAGCAAACAGTTTTGGCAGATATAAGATAATTTTTATTGAAAGCTCAAATTGGACAGTATAATAATTAATTAATCTGATTGTTTATAATATATTATTTGTAAAGTGGTTAAATCTGACGGCTGTATGCTATAGTGGTCCGATCTAACAATTCGTTCGAAGATTGAAGTACATCTTAAGCAATAATCCATACCAAAAACTTCCATACAAAAATTTATTTTGATCGGTCAGTTTCTATGATACTGTTTAATATAGTGGTCTGATATGAACAATTCGTTCGAAAATTGTAGCGATATCTTGGAAAATCATCATCCATGCCATTTTCGTGAAGATAACTTGTCATAAACAATTTTTCATATAAGAACTATTTAGATGTCAGTTTGTATGGGCAGCTATATGCCACTGAGAAAAATCAATGCCGGATTTCGTGAAGATATTTTATCTAATAACAATTTTCATGCAAGAACTTGATTCGATCGTTCAGTTTATATGGCAGCTATATGCTATAGTAATCCGATGGAAAATTTCTTTGGCGATTGCTTTACTTCTCTAACAAAACTTATGCCAAAATATCGTGAACATATCTCGTCGAATGAAAAAGTTTTCCATGCAAGTACTTGAATCCGATCGTCCAGTTTTATGGCAGATATATGCTATAGTGATCCGATCTGAACAATTTCTTCGGAGATTGCATTACTTCTTCTACCAAAAATTCATGCCAAATATTGTGAACATATCTCGTGGAATGAAAAAGTTTTCCATGCAATTACTTGATTCCGATCGTTCAGTTTGTATGGCAGAAATATGCTATAGTGATCCGATCTGAACAATTTCTTCGGAGATTGCATTATTCTTCTAGCAAAAACTCATGCCAATTGTGAACATACCTCGTCAAATGAAAAAGTTTTCCTGCAAGTACTTATTCCAATCGTTCAGTTTGTATGGCAGATATTAGCTATAGTGATCCCATCTGAACATTTCTACGGAGATTGCATTACTTCTTCTAGCAAAAACTCATGCCAAATATTGCGAACATATCTCGTCAAATGAAAACGTTTCCATGCAAGTACTTGATTCCGATCGTTCAGTTTGTATGGCAGATATATGCTATAGTGATCCGCTCTGAACAATTTCTTTGAAAATTGCATTACTTCTTCTAGCAATAACCCATGCCGAATTTCGTGAACATACCTCGTCAAATGAAAAAGTTTTCCATACAAACACTTGATTCCGATTGTTCAGTTTACATGGCAGCTATATTCTATAATGATCCGATATCGGCGGTTCCGACAAATGAGCAGCTTCTTGGGGAGAAAAAGAAGTGTTCAAAATTTCAGATCGATATCTCAAAAACTGAGGGACTACTTCGCGTATATACAGACGGACTGACGGACAGACAGACGGACATGGCTAAATCAACTCAGCTCGTCACGGTGATCATTTATATATACACTTTATATGGTCTCCGACGTTTCCTTCTGGGTGTTACAAACTTCGTGGCAAAATTAATATACCCGTTCAGGGTATAAAAAAATATTAATACTCACTGACCGACATATTCGGCATAAAACTGGTTAGAATAACGAAAAGCATTATAAGTAGTATATGGAATTTGAGGGCAGTATTAACCCGATTTTATTAATTTTTTCCAATACCACATACTACTAATATGCCACAGACTAATAAAATGCTCCCACTGTTTCATTAAGGTACCTCACATACCATCACCAATCAAATGGAGTAAGGTCAGACGAATGTTCGAAAATCCTGATATTAGTTACATGGGGGCTAAGGAAAATTTTCATCCGATTTGATATTGTTATGAGTAAAACACGCTCTCTCATTTTCATTGAGATAACTCACATGTGCGGTATAAAGTCACGCGAAGTTCAAAAATATTTATGTTAGATATATGAGGGCTACAAGAACTATTGACCCGATTCAACCCATTTTTGAAACAGAGACATACTATCGATAATTTCATTTATTTATTCTATTATATGAATTTCAATTATATAACTTACACAATGGCCGATATTACGGTAAAAAGTCAACTATAGGTACTAGGGTCACATATTCAGTACTTTAGGGCTTGAACAGTTTGGTTCGATTTAGACAATTTTTGGTCACAAGGTGGCCAAAAATATGGGTTTTTCACCTAAAAGTGGGCGTGTCACGCCCACTGTTTAATTTTGAACGCGGTTCTATAAAAGTCATCTCATACCATCCCAGAGATAAAATTAATGTCTCTGGCGTGTTTAGTGCTTGATTTATCGCGCTTTTAGTAGTTTTTAACAGTACCGTTAATGGGAAGATGGGGGGGTTCACCGATTTCACCCATTTTCACACGTAGAGGTAGAGTTAAAAACTTTGCTTCAGTGAATTTTGTTTTATACTTTAGTAGTTTAGAGATATGCACATTAACCTATTAGGGGCGAGACCACGCCCACTTAGAAAATTTTTAACTGCAGATGCCCTCCCTAATGTGATCTCGTATACCAAATAACAGTCTTGTATCTTATTGCGGAGCTTATTATGAAAATTTATTTGTTTTTGATTAATGGCGTTTTGTGGGCAGTGGTCGATTACGCCCATCTGCAATACCAACCGTCTTACTGTACAAGAACATGTACTTCATAAAGATATCTAATTTTTATTAAAGTTACAGCTTGCCGGACGGACGACGGACGCAGTCACCCGATTCAATGTCTCTTCCCCTGATCATTTATATATACATAACCCTATATCTAACTCGATTAGTTTTAGGTGATACAAACAACCGTTAGGTGAACAAAACTATTATACTCTGTAGCAACATGTTGCGAGAGTATAAAAATAGTCTACCTTATTTATAAATAAATGTATTCGACTGAATTTTGCGTTATTTAAGAGTATTTCAAATATATTCAAGTTTATTTTTTATTTACTACAAAATATAAGACTGCAACCCTGCGATGCAGAGTAATAAATAATCAAATTTTCGCGGATATCCTACCGTACGGTCTATATAAGCGGACGGTAGAATTGGTGAGCGTTCATTTACATTTCGCCTCATAAGATAGGTCGTATCAGCTGATTCGGTCTTGCGTCGGTGACTTTTGAGTATATGTGGGCTTTTACACACAGACTCTTTTGTACCCAACCGGTTTATTGTGGGCGAGGGGACGCGAGGAAAGACGAAGGGACCGTGCCACTCATGTTCGGGTAGCACCATTCTAATAAAATGGTAACTTTACTTTTTATATTATCGTAATATATTAAGATGCTTTCATATTATTTCATTTAACCGCAAAGGAGTTAGTTCGAATATTATTATATTTAAATGAGATTGTAACTATTTCAAGGATGTTTTATAATAAATAGACACAATATGGAGTAAAGAAATTATAAATTTTTAATACTTAAAGATTAGGAAATTTCTGTTATAAATTTGGCCTTGAAAATATTAGTAGCGAGTATTCAATACATTCTGGTGGATTAGGGAATTGCCGTCTTAGTATTTCTTTGAAACTATTAAGCGGTAGGTATTATGCATATTGTTCTCACGCAATGGACACGCTCTAAGTGTTGCGCAGGCGAACCGCAAAAATATTTACGAAAATTTTGTTAAAAGGAATACAGAAAAAGTAGACACGAGTTGCTGTACTCTTTTGCTCGTGTGAATGCACAGAGCGACACCAAAGGGAATTTGACGAAAAACGAGGTCACAAGAGTCTGTTGTGTAAAAGCTTTGTAAGGAGTTGCCTTTCTCTGCTCATTACTCACACTCTCGCTATGTGTGCCATCCGTAAATGTCTTTTAGTGGATATTAGTGGATTATGTTTTGTCTTATATCCACTCAACAAATGACTTATAAACAAAAATAATTGCAGATCTCTAGAACGTACACAAAATGTAATGTCACGTTGGGTATAGCCGCATTAAATTAAGGAATAGAACTTTCTAATTTACTGACTCTTAACATGATTATTTTGTTTTATTATTTCATACACATTCGAACATTTGATATTTTAGATTTCGCTATAAATATGCTCAAAATATATTCCTTTAATGACCCACTGTTATCACTAAGAACTCTACTCATATTTAAATATAAAGGCAAAAGTCATCTCGCATCAGTGAGATTTGCGGCGATAAAGCATATAATATTAGAAGGCCAATGTACGATTCGGACAAGGTCCGTACAGATATAAATCTTCTATCATGGTATTTAAGAAATCCTCATGGAAAAAGTGACGAAAAAAGTAAGGAGAATGATTCCGTGAAAGCAGGTAAGTACACTGGCAGAAATAAAATTTAGATATCATCCATATGCACACTCTTTACTAATATTTATAAATTTTTTACACTCTCGCAACATGTTGAACATGGCTGGTTGCAGAGATAAAGAGATGCCAACTCGTCTCTCACTGGAAATGAGAGCGCAATTGATAACGTCAAAAACCTACTGAACTCAAGCAACTGTCAAAGTTCGTAGGTCTGACGTTTAGCAACTGGAAAAGAGGACGGCCAGATTAAAATCCTACAGAAAAATATGTAAACAGAGAGATTGGTGCTGCTGTTGAAGATTACTAACAAAAATTGGAAAACAATGAAAATGAAAGAAAACGCGAAATTGAAATGTATGTGATGATATCTTTTATGATGTCATGCTAAGTGGTATTGATTTTCAATTGAAAATTTTTAAAAACATTTATTAATTGAGAGCTAATACATTTATTCTTTTGATTACGTATTGAAAGTTAAAAAATCAATTGTTTAATATATCACAAAATCACAAAAAAAGAGTATAAAAAGTTTCTGCATATGTTTAACGGATACTTCTATAATAATATTTAATCTTTATAAATGATGGGTATTTTAATTTAAATTCCCTAAAATTATTATTTTGTCCAATCTGGCTACAATGGAAAATGTTATAAAAAACGCTAATTTTGAGGCGCTCTCACACTGGAAAGAATTGGGCATCCCATTATCAATGCTGGTTGTCTGAGCTTGAGTAAAATTTTTAAGTTCTTGATAAAACTTGTGTTACTACTCTGAGAGGATTGCTATTGGTTTGAAATCTTGAATTTCAGTATATTAATTTGTGTTACAATGTATAACACAGCACTAAGGAAGATAAATAAAACCTACCACATATGGTACCTTAGCATATATCATCAGAATTACTGGTCGATATTCATACATAATTGCTTTCAATTAAATTTATTGACAATATATTAGTCAATACTATTTAAGGTATCTTAATGAAAATAAATGCGAATATAATTCTTACAACGTCGTGAGATGCTGGTAACGCAATGCTTTTCGTAACTCTGATTGAATTGTTTTTATTATATTTTATTATTCACAGTAGAGTGCCTTTCGAACAGAATTAAATTCATCAGCTGATTACATAAGTCTATAACTAGGAGAAGACATATGTACATACAAGTATATCTACAAGTATACTATACAGATGTAGATGTATACTGAGAAGCGAACAGAAATATAGTCCAGTCATTCACCTCGGAATTCAGATACCCAGCTGTAAGTCTGTAAATACTTGTATATTGACACCCTAAAATTTGTCTCAAAACCTACTTATGGTAGGGTGTACGCAACTATTAAATTTCAAGGTCAAAGGTCACAAAAATCGGTTTTTTGCGCTTTTTTTGTAAATATCTCATTTCCTTTGGGTTTTTTGGTATTGGTATTTATTATCAATATTGTAGAATACAAAATTCTCTACAAATTTTGTTTAAAAATTTTTTTCATACGGTGAACCGTTTTCGAGATAGAGGGCTTAGAGCGCGCGGTCACAGTATCACTTCAGGTCAACCGGTGCCTCCGATCAAAAACGCGCCATATATAGTTGATGAACTATCGATAAATCAATGATTATAAATATTTGTCAATTTTTATTAACTATTATATTATATTTTATCATTTTCTTCATGCCTTAAATCTTTATCTATTCAATAATACTGATCACCGTTTCCTAAAATTAAAAAATAATGAAGGGAAAAACTTAAATCTTACTATAATTATATTCCCATTAACACTAATGACATTTTAATTAGAAAATAATTAAGTGTATCTTCTTTAAAATCTGTAAATTTGTAAATAATAGGACAAGATATTGATTTACTCATCATTTTAATTGGGCGTACACTGTCTTACGAACAAGAAATTTTCTTTAAAAAAGTTGGGAAAGGCAATGTAAAAACGGAGATATACTCGACTAAAAGTTTTGATAATTATCCTCATTCCAAAACACATATTTTATTTCTGCACGCATTAAGTGGATCTGACACAACTTCTGCGCTTTTTAAAAAAGGAAAAAAAACATTTTTAAAAGTTTTTGAGAAACTGACCAATTTGGATGAACTAGCTGCAGCATTTGAGGAAGAAAATTGTTCGGCCCAGAGATTATTAGAGAGTGGAACTCAAACCTTATTGGGAGTCTATAATGCTCCGAAATCTGTGAAAAGTATCGATCATCTTCGTTATATGCATCACGTCAAGTCTACAAAACTTAATAAACCTGTGCAGCTTTCAAATATTCCACCAACAAGTGCAGCTGCTCATCAACATTTCGAACATGTATATTATCAAGTTCAAACTTGGTTAGGGCATGATTTGGAACCCCAGGTATGGGGTTGGGCAATGCGAAACGATTTTCTGGAGCCTATCATGACAATTTTACCACCTGCTCCAGAACATTTGCTTAATACAATTTTCTGCAACAATAAGAGTGGTTGTGGATCGCGATGCGGATGTAGGAAAGCGGGCTTGCAATGCTCTTTAGCTTGTGGCCAATGTAATGGGCAAGCTTGTCTCAATGCTCTACCATATCAGAGCGACATTAACGAAGATGGAACTTCTGACTCCTAAATCATGGAAGAATTTGAAACAAATGTCGTTGAAGACGATAATGAAGACCAGTTTGAAATTTACCAGCAGCCGGAAGACGACGATGAAGAGGAAGAAGATGATTAAAATTATAAATTGTAGTTTTTGTACCCTTTATTCCATTTTTTTACTTTTAATAAAAATAAATGTATTGAATGATATTTTTTAATAAATTTTTTATATTTTTTTTTTATCATGCAAGAAGTTATTAATATTAATAAGGTTTAAATTCAAATATAATTCCTATATTTTCATTAACAATTCTGCAATTTCATGGGCAGGTAAGTGTTGTTAAATAAATTAATACTGAATAAAAAGTGGATAGGTTAGGAAAAAATGATAAAATATAATATAATAGTTAATAAATATTGACAAATATTTATAATCATTGATTTATCGAATGTTCATCAACTATATATGGCGCGTTTTTGATCGGAGGCACCGGTTGACCTGAAGTGACGCTGTGACCGCGCGCTCTAAGCCCTCTATCTCGAAAACGATTCACCGTATGAAAAAAATTTTTAAACAAAATTTGTAGAGAATTTTGTATTCTACAATATTGATAATAAATACCAATAGCAAAAAACCCATAGGAAATGAGATATCTACAAAAAAAGCGCAAAAATCCGATTTTTGTGACCTTTGACCTTGAAATTTAATAGTTGCGTACACCCTACCATATGTAGGTTTTGAGACAACTTTTAGGGTGTCAATATATAAGTATTTACAGACTTACAGCTGGGTATCTGCATTCCGAGATTCTTACCTAATTTAAGCTTAAATGACTGGACTAATATCAAATGTACCTGACTGAGTGTTAACACTCTGTCACAATCACCTAAGGGGGGAGTAGGGTTAATTCTGGTAAAAACAGGTACATTTTCTGTTTTTTTTATGAAATAGTGGAGTCTATTTATTTAAATGAATGGTATATTAGGCGTGTTTTATTTGACCAGCACGTTAAGCTACATATTAGCTTATTTTGTATGGAAGACTTAGCTAACATATTTATATTGGTTTGTCAAAACCTATCTTAGATTGTATATAGAACTAGAGGCATTGCCAATTTAACATTTTTTTTTTCATTCTCAATAGTTTAACTTTTGCAGAGAAAAGTAGTTGGCAATAACGAGAAACCTTACTTTGACAGATGAAAATGTAAACAAACCAAAATTATTTATTTTTGTGGATGGGTATTAAGTTGAAATTAAGACAAAATAGGAACATTGTTTTCAGTTTTTGGTTTTATAGACCTCAAATAAACAAAATAAATATTTTTGTATAGTATATTGACATTCCGTTTGCATATTTAAAAATTCAAACTAACCTTTTATCCATGTCAGACATTTTGAAATAAATTGAATATCAGCGACTGTTCTGAACTACAATGTCAACACAATTCGAAAATATGAAATAAGCTAAGTGCGTTTAATTTGTCAACGGTTCAGCTATTAGCCTATGATCATTGTACAATCCTATAGATTTATACAATTCCTATGACGGTCAAATAAAACCCGGCTATTATAGTATAACATATATAATAAATATTGTGTAAGATTTTTAAAGAGAAATATTAAAAAATACAGCAATGGAGGCGATTATTCTGGAGCGTCTGGAAAAAACAAGTTTAATATCAAATAATATCAAATCAAAAAATGAAAATTATATCGTTAGATAATCGTTTTGCCTAGGTAACACTAGGGGGTTTTTCGAAATTTCAGTTTTTTACTTTTTGGGAACACTTTAAATGAGTTTTTGCGAAAAATCCGGTTAATTTGTTACTGTAATGATTTCTCCAGCGTTACCTCGAAAATTATATACAAAAATAGTGTTAAAATTTCAAAACAATCGGTGCAGTAGTTTTGAAGTTATGACTGACACCGACTTTGAAAACATAAGTTGTGGAAAAACCCTTTAAAGTTTTGAAATCTGATTTAAAATGTTCATAAGACAGGTATAAAAATAGTCATAACTTCCTCAATTTTGCGTTCATTGAAATCAAAAATAAAAAATAATAAATAAAATAATTTTTTAAACCTCTACTCCCCCTTAACATAAGTGATTCCAAATTAGTTTTATAAGTATTCAAGCTTAAAGCATAATTACCTTAGGATCACCCAGGAAACGTCAAATTTAACTTAAGAAAGAAAACAGGGTCTTCAAATTTATCCTCACATTATTTTTAGTAAAAAATTACGGCAAGAATTTCTATACAACTGGAAAGAGTAAGAATGCTAATACGCTTTAAGTCATTAGTGTTAGGAGGATTATTATAACACTATACGGCAAAAACGATTTGGATAATGGGCCAAACCATTTTTTGAGTGGTTGAGTCAAAAGTAGAAACTAATTTCTCCGTTTTTCGAAGTTAGCT